CCCCAAAACCCCAAAACCCCAAAACCCCAAAACCCCAGAACAGCCTCATTAAGTTGAATTAGTAATGAATAATAAATACTTATTCTCAAATTTTTCAATCGTGGAATCCAAGACGGAAGAAGAAATTAAATCGACCCAGAGTTCTAATAATAACCAGATAACTCTGAAGGCAAAAAGTATTGCAACTTTTGACAGTGCCCATTCGGGGAAAACCATAGTTCGAGGGACTGCCAAGACTAAAAAGAAAGTAATAAAGCTGAAGAAAAATAAATACAAATTGTAGGCCTTGTTTATCAGCTTAGGAACTCATATAGAGCCAAACTAGCCTAATTATTGCTTCTTGGGGCACTATGTCATACTAATTTTGTGCATAGGGAAGATAAACAGCTACAAATGGAAATAAGTTCAAAATCTTATATTCATCTGAAAAAGCATGCTAAAAACAAGGACTCAACTAAGGATACTCTGAAATTGCCAGGAGGGTCCTCTTTTGGAGGTGAAGGACTTAAGGGGGAAAAGTCTTTTGCCAAACTGCTCGAGCTTAGCATTCATAATAACCTACTCCGACACCAAAATTGGATGTACAAAGAGTGAATGGAGCGGGTGGCAAAGAGTAATCGGTAAGGCAAACTTTCCCGGTAATTCTCCAATGTGTCTTATTTCGTAGAAATCTGCTTAGCCACACATAGCCTCCATCTTTTAATTAAATTAAGTATATAATAGGCTGGTTATAATCCTAATTTTTCTGAAGAAATTTTCATAAAGTCAAGAATCAGTATATAAAGCAATAGCTTTGAAGTTTTATAGGTTCTACGAGCAAATTGTATATGGCGATATGAAGGAGAAGCTTAAAAAGCTTTATTCTCTGGAACAGTCTCAACATAAAATGAAGAGGTTATTTTCGTATTATGGTAAAAGACCTCCAGTAAGACCAAGCTATTGAAATCTGAAGCAGCAGAAATTGATGACAGATTACGTAAAGAGACAAAGGATTATGTTTAAAATGAAATCAAAATCTAGATCATTTAAGTCGTCATCCCATCAATCGACGTCCAGCATGGGAAGTAAGACTTCACCAGGTGTTGATAACATGCTATTCACAAGCTCTTTTTACAAAAATTTGGATAATGAGGACAACGATCTCACAGGTAAGAAGTTTCTCAATAATTGGTTTAACATATCTAGGATCCATCCAGAAGGATTACAGATCGAGTCACTGCTCTATCTCTCGAAGATCAATCCAGTCATCTTTCTCTAAAACACTCAAAAAGAAGAAGAGCTACAAATTAGACGATTTGTTGCAAAACGAGAGCTTGATATCTCGGAAAAATGAAAACAAAGTTGTGAAATCTGTAAGAAAAACTCCTATGACTAATATGCCCCAAACCTTGCTAATTGATATTATAATTTTGTTCTCATTTCCTGGACAATTACTCCAAGGCACAAAACTTGCCTTGATAGAAATGTAAAAATGTTATCATTTCTTTACTCAGGATGGGCAATTTTTAAGCCCCTTCTCATTTCAAAGAATGCTGAGATTATTGTTTCCCCATTAAGTTACAAATAAAACTGCGGGGATTCCATATAAAATTCGCAGCCTAATTTGTGTTTAGAAGGTCAGAATCTCAAGGGATATTACCAGTGGGACTCCAGACTTTAATAAGACAGAGTTTGACAAGATCAAGGATATGAAGGAGATGATTAAGAAGCATACCAAGAGTAAGAGGAATAAAAAGCTCGTAGTTCCAAGTGAAAAGGTATCCTATCTCTTTTTCATGTGTAGGATATGACTCTTTCTCAGAGGAGGAGGTCTAGTATGACTATACAGGACATTATTAACAAAGCAAGAGAAAATTCATCCTTTAACCGGACCATGACTGGCAACCTTCAGCAGACTACACTCAAAGCTAAACCTCTGAAGAAGAGAACTAAACTCGTTCTTCAAGGACAAAGTTCAAATTATTCAGTCACTAGGAGCCATAGTAATATTCCAACTGTATTTCATGGCCAAGGAGTGGATAATAGCCATACAAATTCAATGATGAGCCTAGGTATTCCTATGAACTCAAATCCAAGTAAAATAGGAGACAGTGCGAGAGGTAAGATCCCAAAAATATGACCCCTATAGTACTAATGTCAGCGAACAATAGCGGAAGAGGTGATTCTAAAAGCAAACCCCAACTATCAGCATTACCTCCAAAGACTCCAGTAAACGTAGTTGGGAAGCATCAGAGGCATAAGACCTCATTTACTTCCAACAACTCAAGTTTTAACTACAAAACTGAGCATCAGAGGGATTTAGAGGAATCTAAGGCTCTTCCAAAGTCTAGTTTCCGAAGGAAGACTTCCTTCGTAGACATTTTCAATCAAAGGTACTAGTATTATTTCTCATCTGCTTAGACTAAAGAAGTTCAAGCATGGAAGAAACAACAGTGTCTCACAAGGAGGTAGGTTTTCCAGTATAATAACATAGACCATACTCTTGGCAAAGATTTATCTGAGACTCTTCCAAAACTTAAGATGAACCCCTCAAGTCTTGCAAATTTAAATACCCTCAAACTCCTAAAAAGGTAATTTAGCCAACTCATTAATCCTTATCTTGGTTTAGGAAAAAGAAAGATCCATAAAGTAGATGCTGTAGAAACTGGAGTTCAAGAGCCCCATACTTTCTTGGGATGAGTACTCTTAAAACTATCTGAATTATTCTCCTAATTTAATATATTTTGGTAATAACTAAACTGACTTCCCTCCACACTTTTTCAAGGTTTACAAACATTGCCTGGATAAAAACCACGATAAATTAGAAGGGAGATGTACTTCCAACTGGTCTTGCATGACATCAAGTCTAAAATCTAGTAAAATCTCATCTGTTTTCTTTGAAAAATATCTTACTTAAAACTCTAGTCTTCTCTTAAGGAAGGATTTTACTTAAATACCAAGTAAATCATAAAGTTACTAAGCTAAGATCACATTAATGATCGTATTCTATTTTGAATTATATATCATATTTGGATTTTATTGCGCCTCAAGGTTATTTTAATAACCTGGGGTTTTGGGGTTTTGGGGTTTTGGGGATTGGGG